GGCCACCCATCTAATAATCTGTTGACTGGCTGCCAGCGCGCGATATCTCTAAGATATACTACTGCCAGCAGTATATCCATGCTTGTCAGGTAGCCTCTAAGGTTACCGTGACATGGAGTTAGTGTTCTCGCTCACGCGAACAAGTGTCACGGTAACCCCAGGCTACCTGACAAGCATGGATATACTGCTGGCAGTAGTATATATCAGAGATATCGCGCGCTGACGACCAGCCAATAGAACAGCATACTGGTGACCCGTCTACTAACTGAGGTCGAACCATGGCGCTAGCTACCCTTGGTAAGGGCACGCGACGAAGCGAGATGATAGATCCACGTTGGCTAAGCGGAAGAGGACCTTCTCTCCTTATCCAACGTCTTGTACATACACGCAGATACCGAACGCAGTAATATCCATCTGCAGCCTACTACTAGGCCGCAGACGTCTCTACTCGTTGCTCTCGTGACATTCTCGCTCACGCGAACAAGCTTCTAGAATATTTAGAAGAAGCTAGGATATACGCGCTTATGGCATCCTCATCAAACAGTAGCGACGAACACCAATGGAAATATCCTTCTAAAATGTCACGAAGACCCGAACCCTTCTAGCAAGAATTTGCTTGTTAGCCAAGGTGACTTTACTATGCATCCTACTATTAGGGGTATATAATGGTTTCGGGGATCTACGCTATACCTAAAGTACGTGAATCAGGGGATGGCACCACACTAGACTACAATAAGAGAGAATCAGCGCCGCTTCGCGTTGCATGCACGCGATTTTGGGGCGGGACGTGCCACCGCCTGACTGGGAAATATCAGGGGCCGACACTACGGGGTTTCACATACTAGGCTTTAGGGAGAAATGTGCACTGAGAGTAAAACCGGCTCTATCTATACCAAATTAGGCAACCACTGTCTTGTGAAACAACTCAGCCGCAACGGCTGATTCTCAATGCGGTCAGCTTAGAGAAAACCCGAAAACGGGCCGATAAGGCCGGATTATGTATAAAGAGCAAGCTAGACCATCTTTCCGTCCACTCTCTTCTCGTCCATAGCTCAAAAGTCTTACTACTGGTTCCAAACTCTCGCAAGCACAATATGGCCCCCGCCTGGCTTGAAAACTTTATCACGCGCGAGGACGCTACCCCAGATCCGCGACGCAACTCGGAGCAGCCTACGCTAGAGATACACTATACTGCCATAGGCGGCCATCGTCGTATCTTGGGCGTGCAGGGCGACACAAGACCGCGTTACGAAGTCAATCGACAAGCCATACTCGGCGCTTGGGGGAGTAAGTGCCACATCACGTCTCCTGCGAACGAAGGCAAAAAAGTGGCCATCATCAGCTTCCATTCCCTCCCCCGAGCTTTCATTGAGATCGAGTTCCCGCAACGCCACCACCAAATCGACATCAGCACAAGCAAGCAACGATTTGATGCCAGCGGCGGGCTTGGTTGTCTTCATTGGAAAGGCACCGGGATGGAGGTGTGTGGCCATGCATCATGGGAGCTACGTGATGAGACGAGCCTTGTGATGGCGGTGGACATAGATCAGAACCAAGTGAATGGGGTTATTCGTCTTTGGAGACAGAACCTAGATGCTGAGACGGTAGAGGAACTCGTGGTTGCCGCAATTGCTAAGATCGAGGAGTATAAGCTGACCATAAGGACTTCAAAGACGTCCTTCGTCGGCGCTACTGCTACCGCGGGATGGCTGGCCAGTTCTTAAGCGTAAAAGTGTCATGAATTGTTCTATGCTGTATACATCTCAGCTTTCAGTAGTAGAAGTAGAGGTAGTTACCTAATTTAGCGTAGGGCTCTCACTTTCGAAGGAGTCTAAGGGCGCTAATGGATGCTCTAGCTTAAACGTCCTGTATAAGAATGCTAATTGGCATTTAGCGTGTTGGCGAAGATGTATGCCATAATAATATCATTACTTCTACAAAGTTCTACGTGCTAACTAGCCCTAGTATATGATGCTTTACGGTTCTGCCCCCGATTCTTCCTAGAAACGTATGGTGCGTGTTAAATCCAGAAGGGTAGCTAGTCCTAAAGGGTTAGGGTTGGTTCTCGGGCAAGACAACTGAGGGAAGTAAAGGGGTTTTGTCGAGACGATAGTATCGGAGGAGATGTAACGAGTCAACAATATGGCCTGAGTGTAATCCAAACGATAGATTGATAAACAGGTTGAACACGAGTGTGAGAGCTCACACTCGAGTTCCTATATACTTGTCTGCTCAGCTGCTCAGGGCTCCTGAGCAGCTGAGCAGGTCACGTGACTGCTATCTAAGTGGCTTGGCGGCTCTTTGTCTCGTCGCAACCCTGTCACTGCATCCTCGCACCTTCATAAGCGCCCTTTCCACTCTTCTGCCTTTCGGTTCGTAACAGTGCGAATCTGTCCTGCGTATCTGCCCCGGATTTACCTTAGGAAGGCATAGCGCGAATCCATTCTACTGATCGTGATAGTAGTCTATCCTAGTTTAGTATGACGCTAGGTATCCGTGCGGTTCTATCTAGACACAGCTGAACATCCAACTAAACCATCATCTTAATTAATGTATTGGATCACCGAGCGCCGCACTTTTGCTAAGCAACACCAACTTGTGATTCTGATTCATCGCTATCACTATCAATACCATCTGAAAACAAACCACCCAGGGTTATATTTACTTCAAAAAATGACGAAGATGACTCTTCAGCCCCTAGCAGGTTCTTGCGTTATGCCCGGACCCTCCGCCATTGCGGCAGCGACGTTAAGTTGAAGGACCTCCTTTAGAGGCACTACCACCACGCGCCGTCTTAGACGATCTTGAAGCAGTATATAGACCTGCAGCCACCTGGTCTACTGTCGGACTATACTCCATGGTACCTCCTTGCTGGATCCGCTTCTTTTACGTGATTCTGCTTAGTAACAGCATCAAGCTGCTCCTTAAGCTCCTTATTACGAGCCGCTTGTAGCGCGTCACGGTAAAGCATTTTTCCAGCGCCTTTAATAAGCTGGGCGAAAGTAGCTCTTGCTGTTGGAGGTGATTGTAGGTGGAAACCCTGTACCAGTTTTGACTGTAAGGTGGCATTTGGTCATGGACAGGCTCAGGCGGAAAGTTGCTATCAGCTGCCATCTCATCCTCTTCCACACTGTTCGAATCAGCTTACCAGCACTGGGAATCTCCTAGCTACAAGGCATGTTAGCTGCACCTGAGTAATAATGAGGGTGATGGCAAAACCAACTTTCCCTTCGGTGAAGCAAACACTGAGTCAACGTACCTTTCCAATATATTTATATATATACCGTGCGGTTATTTCCATATCGATCTGAACTGATGTGCTCATACGTTTCTGAGCCGTCGTAGTACGACTGAAGCGTGCGAAGAGCGCTAACGATCAACTTTCCATACCCGAGAGGATCTTCTGCTTTCTGCGATATCGATGCATTATAGTAGACGTTCTTGAATTGTCCGCTAGATAAATCTTGAGTGACCCAGATGCTAGATGGTGTCAGGAAAGTTGTTTGTCCAAAAGATAAATGCCATACAGAGCTCCGCAATTAGGAGAAGATTATTACCTAGTCTGATTATTGACTCCGATGGTTGGCTTACACTTTTCATTTATTCCTGTTGTATCTTTGACTTTACTAATACAGTGTTTTTCTTGGGTCTCCTTTAGATCATGCCTACCCTGCGTCACCTGTGTACTGTCCGATCGATCTATCAGCGATACGTCGGGCATCACCAATACGTCGGTGTTGGCGATACGTGACAGTACGTCCATGATTTTCAGGTAGCTTTGGGTGACAGTCGGTGTGGCAATTGATAATCCTGATCAAAGGTGGCTTTTAGTTGAGTGGGTATCTGTGAAGAGAGAAGTTTCGTGGAAGGCTAGAGAGATAGAACGTGTATATCTCTGAATGATTGAAATCGCATGAAGTGTGATGCCTCATATGTTTTTTTGGTAACACGGCTGGGCACATTTAATACCCGCATTTATAGGCAGCCACAGGAACCTGCATGTGCAAGCGAACGTGTAGCAGCGCCCGAAGACTCTGACACTGGTTGGACAGTTATTCGCTTGCTTGGCTCAAGTTTACATCAAGCTGAAACTGAGTGTCTCGCACAACGAGATGCGCAGTCGATTGTGTGCAGATGTAAATTGGCAGCTTGCATCTCTCGGGCAGAACAACTCCCAAAGTTTCAAAAGAAGCCACCATCGGATGTCTCTTAACCCCATGCTGCATCCGCAACCAGTTCGTTTCGCTCTGTGAATTATGTTTAACCACTTCTTAATCCTTGTGTTGAAATGATAGACGCCGAGGTGTGGTCCAAGTTATTCATTGCCACGGACACTCACTCATTTTTGGGATCATTGTAAATCCCGAAAAAGCAGAACTAGATTACGTTCTGAGTTGCCTTGCTCTAGAAATAATGGTACAATATGAGTATAAGAAGGGTAAGTATATAGGGTTTTTCTAATGAAACTTTGAAATATAAGGACAACAAAGCGATGGCACTGGTTGGAACCATCATGTCATAGCCAGCAGTGGGGAAATAATTATCGCCACCATTCATATGCAGACAATTAGCAGGTCGCTCCATCATACAATCCAATCGCAGCACCTACAACACCAAACGCAGGATGAATCCAACCCACCAGACCCAGTGAGTTGCGGATGGTGTTCAATAACCCACTGTCACTCTCGCAAGAGCAATCAACGCGGAAGTCAACTTGCATTTGTACCTGTAGACTCTTTGGATCGCTCTGCTTCGCGGTCGTGATCTCGAAGCGGCCTCCATGCGGATATTCCACCCCCTCTTGGATAACATGGTCGTAGGAACCACCACCGAACTGAGAGCCCCCAAGAAAGCAATTACGTTCGTTATGTGTGCGCGTCTCCTCAATCTTCGCACCAACATGTTCCACAAAAATGTCTGCCATCTTCTGTGGAGTATTGGTGTCGTACCCAGGCATTCCCTCTGCAGATGGAACATTAACCGTTGGGAATACCATCTTGCATCCCCCGCCGATATCTATTCCAGATTCTGCGTTCCAGCTCTTGTCTGCGATGTCCTTGAACTTGGAAAACACTTCCTTCGCGTCGAGAGGGGCGGGCGTCGAGCCAGAGCATGACGCCTCCTTTGAACCGACTTGTGCAATCTTGTCATCAAATTTGACACTTGTATGGCGGATCCATCGATCGGCACGGGTGCACACGTACGCTGCGGCACAACTATATCCGTCTTGCGTGGTCCAGGGCTTGTTGTCCGAGCCTGGCTTGTAGCACTTGAACTCGGCGCCACCAAAGGTCGCAGTGCCTGAAATTGGGGCCTCAGGCTCGCCGTCGGACGTTAGACCCCAAGCTTTGAATTGGCGGCCGTCTTCTGGAAATGTAGCTGAAACGGGGTTTTCTTCAGTCCCAGAGGTCCAGCCGATGTGGTACTGACCCGAGAAGCCGTCATGGCGGGCCGGATCGTGAATCGTAGTGACAGTGTCCTGGCTTGCGCCATCATTGCGCCGCGCGTAGTCGTCCGAAAAGTAGTGCATGCGGTCTTGGGTAGCAAATTCTGTGCCTGATTTTCCATTGTCGCATTCAGCAAGGACAACTGCTTCATCGGGGTTGTCGGCACGTTTGCTCAGGGAAGTTGGCACGGCAATCACGCCGCTTAGAAGGCACAAAGCCGAAATCTGATATAGTTTTGGCATTTCGTTGACGCTGAAAGAAGCTGGGTATTATATGCGGGAAGGGTTTAAAGATTGTGGTCTGTTGTCAATTCTTTTTGAATATCTAAAGCCTTGGGTACTAAATGAAGGCTATATAACACCTCTTGTTGTGGATCTGCGTACCTGCAGGAGATTCCCTTGTATCAGAAAGGGGCCATTACAAGTGGAATTTTGCTTCGGTTACCCGCGGAGCTGAAGCCAAGACCGGTTCGCAAGACAGCATCGGATAATCAGTCTAACATCTTTGTCCCTTGCAGCTGGCTTTCGGATAAGCGAACCCCGAACAGACACGTATAAGGTATAGAGGGAGAACACTGAAACTCCTAGCCCAAGATACTAAGCCCAAGCGATCGATAGTACTACATGTGGCCAGGATAGGCAAATTTCCTCACCTCAAGAGATCCTGGAGTATATTGTGATGCTCCCCGCAAGCGGGAAGTGGCGTGATGCACTCATCATTATCGCGATCTGCAAAGTATGATGTCCGATACTTGTAGGTCGCAAATAGAGGGGTCGGGGTGATTCGGGCTATTCTTGTCGCGTCTTCTTTTGCGCGTCCACGACAAACACTGGAGTACTTTTGGGTTACAAGATTCATCTTCAGAAGATGAAAAGGCCCGGTTCACCCTCGTAGCGATAGATATAAATATTCCTCGCATGCCTGAGGCATTTACTGAACCTGTAGACTGGACCTGTAGATCTTGAGAGCTATTTGTCCGAGTGCCAAGGTCTCTTTAGGAGTGGCGTTGAGCTGAACCGCCTAGAGAAGAGGCAGTCTACCGGGCAAATGAGATTTGACAAAGACCTACCGCGCTAGCAATGGGGTCCGGGCTGTTTGGGCACATTCTTTCACGAGTCGTCGTATGGTTGGAACGTCGCGCAATTTGACGTTCCTAGAACACACGCAGCCTGAGCTCCGGTGGTATAAACGGCATAGTGGGACAGACACATCGGGCGGACGTTCTTTCCGGCTGGCTTTGACCAATCAAGATCCGATATACCGTGCCTTGGCAAGCTACCGGTATCTCCGAGCTAGCTAATTGCTTGGCGGCATGCCAATTCATGCTGGAAGCATGCTCCTAAACACCACCGCCTACCTCCCTTCTCTCTCTTTATCATTCGCTTTGAAACGATGGAAAGGCTTCATTTGGAAGGGATACGACATCTACGTCGGTCTGGAGATAACGCTTGGGATTTCCTGCTCAGCGGGCTATTGCGTTCTTAGTAAGGCGGGGTCTAGACAGGGGCAGATGCACTGTAACCAGCTTTGCTTGTCTACCTTGTTCGCAGGGTTTCCAGTATAGACGGTCCAAGAGGACGGCGCGGTGGCGCTTTTGAAAGGTTTGCCCTCTGCTGAATCGCCTGCGTAAACTATCCAAATAGTCATCGGAGAAGTCAGATTTGTCGGCACTGCAGACAGTCAGGCAAGGAGAGCTGTCCTTTCTTGATACAATGTGCACAGGTACATAGCATCACAGAAATAAGTGTAGCTGCTGCTTTGCGTACAGCGTGTCTTGGTATGCACATTGGGCCGCGGCTAAGCTAAACCTAAATAGACCATAAAGAGGGGTTGTTTCCCGACTAGCGCGAATCGGGCAGCGAAGCAGGAGCCCAGTCGCGCCAAATCACGAATTAGGCACGAATGGAGCCCTAGTCGTGATGTCCGCGTGGAGGTAGGTTCGGACCCCAAGCCGCGCCTCATATACTAGGCGCTACTTATTGTTCATCTTGCTCCTGCTCAAAACACTAGCACAACGTCTCAATCACAACTTCTTGTTCATTTTCAATCGAAAAACCTAAAACAAAATGTTTCAATGTTTGATGCGTGGATGATTACCTCCAACATCGCGATGCTATGGGACAGTTGTATTGGGCGTGTCTGGACCGCGGGGTTGGCGATCTGCGGCTGAAGCGCCACCCACCCCAAAACCATGGTCGTCACCAATGATTTCTCAGGCCCTGATATTTGTTGTTTGAAGTTCCCAGAGGCCATGCTGGAAATGCACTGCTATCACACTTTGCGCCAATCGCTAAGCACTGCATCACTCAGCTCTCATATCCGCAGCAACAACAGCAACCAGCATATTTGGCGTACGTCTCCGGATTCCTTTGGCAACCTCACCCTTTCATACTATCCGGAAACATATCTAATAAATTCTAAGGATGGTCAACGAAAGCGAATACTCTGTAGTGGATTACGAAGGCGATTATGTTCTTCCCGATGCCAAAGAAGCGCCCCTAGCCATTCGTCTCATCCAAATTCAGCCGCGCGAGCCTGACAAAAGTCCATTTTCAAGTACAATCAAACTGAAAATGCGTGTTGTGAATCTCGGAAGTTCATATTTGCTGAAAGGAGAGAGTGTCGAGCCAACAGGGAGGCCATCTGTGAGATTTGACGAGGAGATGAATGTGGAGCGGCCAGAGGAGTACTTCGGTATACCGCGAAGCTCGATGCCAAAGTGGAACATGGCACAGGATGAACAAGCCCCGGAACACGGAAGGCTAGGTAGACTCAGTCGCTTGGCTAGCAAATTAACCTTGAAAGCGAAGGTTCCTGAGAAAGACCTCACCATTGTCCCTATGAATGAGATTCCAGAAGGAGAGCCAAAGATGCGGGATAGGTTTACTTGGGGAAATTACGTGGCCATGTCATATTCATGGGGAAAGAAGGAGGAGTGGGAGATGACGGACAAGGATCGGAAAGAAGCCGCAGAGAAAGAAGAAGAGGCAAGACAAAAGAGGTTGAACGAGTTGAGCTACGACTCTAGTGACGACGAAAAAGAAGACACCAATGGCCAATATACAGACGGCGAAGTCCACCATGTGCTTCTTGACGGTCGGCGCATTCGAATCCGCTACAACCTCTGGGCCGCACTGCTCGCTTTCCGAGAAATGAAACCTTTTCAAAGCATATGGCTATGGAACGATGCATTATGCATCAACCAGCAGATGACGGACGCAGGATTCAAAGAAAGAGCAAGACAAATCCCACTGATGTCCGTCATCTATCGTCAAGCCGGAAACATCATCGTTCACCTTGCCAGCGGTTACTTCCGGGATGAAGACACGCCATGGGTTTTGGACTACCTCCAGGGCATTGGCGCAAATTACCGAACCGAGTACTACGAGGCACTCGACCACGCCGAGCCCACCATCGCACAGTCGCATCGGCAGAAAGCCAAATCCCAGCTTGAAAGGTCGGCGAAGGAGTGGGTGGAAGTCATGAAAGCCGATCTCCAAAAGTCTGCACGACAGGGCGACAACGACTACGCCATGATCTCGCTGTACGATTTCTTCGATCGCCCGTACTGGCGACGACTCTGGATCATCCAGGAACTCGCCATGGCTCATCATAGCGCGCCCATACTGTGTGGTGATTTTGTCACGCAGTGGCGATATATTCGCGACGGCGCGTTGTTGCTGAGCATGATGGCGGATACAATTCGCGATGCGATGCAGCGTGCGCTCAAACGAGCAAATAGGACCATGAAGAGCGAGCCGTCTTTCGAACATGTCGCTGCCATTGCGGAGCTTTCTGTGTCTGGAAACAGGAAGTCGGTGCAGCAGACTAATGAACTACTGCTGCTGTTGAAGCCCGGCGTCATGGAGGCGAAAAATCACTCGAATTCTCTAAGGCTGACATCAAACGGTATTGGGGGAATGCGCATGCCGCTTATGAAGACACTGCCTGGCTCGCCGATTCAGCAATCGCTAACGCTCGCCGCTGACGCCCAGTGCTTCATGGATAAGGATAGAGTCTTGGGGCTACTTGCAATCCCAGCGCTCTCGACGCTACCTTTACACAATGATACTCACCTTGCCAGTTTACCGACGACGGATATCTACGTCCAATATGCTAAAGCATGTATCCAAGCCGACCACTCGCTGGGTATCTTCGCCTTTCTCGAAGGAGGCATGTCTAATCCGCACAAAGGAAGACGCGTCCCATCTTGGTGTCCTAGCTTCCATCTCAAATCCAAGATTGGCCGCCTCCAGGGTGATTGGCACCCGCATCCACGACGCCCGATATATACTCGAGGCGACTCCGAGTCATGGGAGTTCGAGGACGAGTTCGCCCCAAAGTTCGAGGGCGATATTATGACCTGCCCTGGGTGGGTTATCGACTCTGTTGATGGTCTGGGTGCATTGAGCGCGTCTGATATGTCGTCTATGATGCCTAGTTCGTTGTTGAAGGCAGGTCTAGTTCCGCCACGATTCAAGCCTGACTGGTCCGACATCAAAGACGAATTTGATTATAATTCGAACCCAGTTATGCAAGGCGTTCCGACGCGAATCTGGTCCACGCTTGTCGGGGGAACAAGCACGCATGGCAAAAGGGCGCCAGATAGCTTCAATTGTCTGCTTACCTCGTTTCCAGAATCAAGGCCGCGCGACAGCGACTTCCTATACAAGCGCAACTGGGACTTCCTCCAAGCCAACCGCGACCTTCCCATTGGCGGAAAACCGCTATCTTCTTACTTTACCTCAGCTCCGACACCTACTTCGGGCCCCGACTTCAGGTATCGCCCCGCTGCTCCCTCCGATCCCACTATCACAGAGGCCCATCGCGCGATGGAAGCTCGAACCAAGTTCCGCCGTTTGATGACGACCTCGAACCGTCCCTTGATGGGCCTTGTACCGGCGTCTACGCAGCAGGAAGATGTTGTGATTATCCTGTGGTATCATAGTCGGCCACTGATTGCGAAGGCGGTGAAGGATAGCGATAGCGAGGGGTATATGTTCTTGTTGAAGGGAGAGGCGTTTATTCCAGGGATTATGGATGGAGAACTTGTTGATTCTGGGGAGTTGGAGGGTATGGAGATGACAAATTTCAAGTTTTACTAGGTGGTGCAAGTCAGATATTACTCCACACGAGCCAGTCCCGTAATGCGAAACATAACTAGGGCTGCTTGCGGTTGTGATCACGTTTGATGCACTACATCATAGACAATGGCTGTTTCCAGATTACTATAATGGATGGCTTGCCTCCATCCCATCTCTACCAACCCAATCTAGTCATAGAAACACTCAAAAGCTGACATCTTCTCTCCAACCCCGCAACTCCCCACAAACTGCTCTCTCCCATCCAACCCACCCTTCGCCCTCTCCCACTGCCTCTCCACAATCCATATCTTCCCCTCACTCGTCGGCCTCACTCTCGCCCTAAACCTCACCGGCACCGCGACAAACCCCTCCTCAAGCCTATCCTGCACCGGCACCTTCCCCTTTGGCTGCACATCAAACGCCCAGAAAATCCTAGCCCCAACATCAAACTCCTCTGTGCAACATGAATCCCCGGACATGTCCGCCTCCCCGCGCCGAACGCGAAATGATCGCGCTGTGCGGTATCGATGCTTTTCGCCGATTCGTGCGAGGTCGAGTCGTTGCCCATGAAGTGCTCAGGATCGAATACCCCTAGATTCGGATAGCGCACGGGATCGCGATGAATACTCCACCATCCTATTTTATAATATGAGATAGCAGACTAGTGTAAGAAGACGCGTTAAGATAAATTAAAGTAAAAAAGAAATGAAAATAGCTGGGGAATAGAAGTGTTTCTGCCCCTTTTCTAACGCGTTTCTAGTATTAAATCCTACCTAATTGTCACGAGAGCAACGAGTAGAGACGTCTGCAGCCTACTACTAGGCTGTATATGGATATTACTGCGTTCGGTATCTGCGTGTATGTACAAGACGTTGGATAAGGAGAGAAGGTCCTCTTCCCCTTAGCCAACGTGGATCTATCATCTCGCTTCGTCGCGTGCTCTTACCAAGGGTAGCTAGCGCCATGTTTCGACCAATCAGCTAGCAGAAGGGTAACCCTTGTGCTGTTCTATTGGCTGGTCGTCAGCGCGCGATACCTCTGAGATATACTACTGCCAGCAGTATTTCCATGCTTGTCAGGGAGCCTGGGGTTACCGTGACACTAATTCGTTAACCTCATCCCTAACGCTAAGCCGATTTTGGCGCGTCTGTGACCACCGATGCCTCTTAATATAGGTTAGGTCAAAGGTGTAATTATAAGTAGTAGTTAGATTGGCACCTTGCCGTATTACCATGTTCTGCAGAGACATTAAGGCGGCTTTGGTTTCTGTATGGTTTTTTAGTGGACGTAGTTCTGCCGACTGTTTGCCCTAGCTATTCATGAGCGAATTGTCGATTGATGGTGGTTTTCACCTTCAGAGGCAGGAGTAACGTTACTTCTTAGTCTTACGACAGGTCAACATTCTACAACACAACGACCTCAGGAAATTTTTGGCTCGTTCCATCAAAGAGCGTCGTGTTCCCTCCTCTTAGTACAGAGTCCAAAAATGCCGTCACATACGTCGACACAATCTCGAAACTTCTTCTTCCATTCAGCTTCCCAACCAGACTATCCACTACCTCCTTCGAAAGCGTGAGCGCCCCTGTTCCGTTGAGGTATGACACGTCGGTGAATCCAAAGTGCGTAATATTGTTTAAACCAATCTCCGCCCTCCACCCCTTCAAATGCCGCAGCGTCTCCGCCCAGGTAACGTCTATTGTAGAGTTATGTGGATTCGGAGTTACGCCGGTCGTGCCAAACAGCACGGCAGGCTGCTGCATATCAGTTATAGTGCCAAATTGCTGACCGTCCAGGTTGAGAGCTCCGACAAAGCGCGAGTCGGTCATAAGTAGCTTGATAGAAGTGCTGCCGCCAAAGGAGTGTCCGAAGACCGCAACACGCTCTGTGTTGAACCCAGTCAAGGCTCCAGGTAACACCTTCGCTGCGACCTCCATGCTCTTGAGCTGCGAGAGCACATATCGAACATCATCAACGCGTATGTCTTGCAGAGGTTCCAGTCGCCCCGGGATAGTCGGGTCCCAGGATGGATCGTTGAGCCCTGTGACGACCGATCCGTCCGGGAACTCCACAGCGAGGGACTCAAAGGTGTGATCCATAGTGACAACGGCAAATCCTGCACTCGCTAGCTCCTCAGCGAGAGCACTGTGGATAAGTCGGGTGCCACCGAAGCCATGAAGAAGGAATACGAGCGGGATATTGCTTGCGTTCTTGTTCTCATCACCGGTCGTCTTGCAGCACACTTGCAACGCCACCTTGTCCAGTTTGCCACTAGGGATGCCGATTGAAGCGCCAAATTGATCAACGTACGGTGCTATGTTTTGCGATACGTATGGAGCAGTGCATATTTGTTCGCACTTAGAGCTTTCTACGGGATAGAAGGACGAGAGCATTAGCTTCCGGGTTCTATTATTGGGGTCGAGCGGGTCAACGCGGGACCCATCGAGGATTTCAAACGTATTATAGAGTACAGCGAAAGGTCCGCTCGGAAGGGGAAGGACGTTTGTAGCAGAGACGACCAGGGGCAAGATAATCGACAAGAGGCCAGATTGCAAAAGCAGTGGAACGAAGGGTCCCATTATGAAAAGAATGGTCGGCAAGCAAAATGGAATGCTGATGCAGAAGGATACCAGCCGTTCACGCATATCTTATATAGTAGGATAGCACATCCTGGCGTTGATTCACGATCTTCTCAAGCAGGGATCATGGGGACTCGGGTCCAATTGAATCTAACGTGAGCCGTTGTTCGTAAATTGCCTGTTTGGGTAAGCCTCCTGAAGGCACAGCCACAGTGCGCATCCTCTATACACACAAGGGTGAATATGCCGACTATCCATAACCTAATGCAATGGCAGGTTGTTGTCATTCAATAATTGCACAGCTCCCCTCTCGTCATTAACCGAATATCCGCTAATCGTGTGGATGCCGAAAATAGCGTGGCCGCTTTCGTAGCGACCAATAATCACACTGGAGAGCCGAAACAATACGTCAGTTTTGAAATCATGCCCTGAGTTCGTGCCCAAGCTGTGCAAAAAAATATTGGTTGCACAGAACGCTCTCTAGTATCTCCACCAGTCAGCCTCGTAGGTAAGTATTGATCCAGTCGACGCTGATATCGGCACACGAATAGCCTCCGCCACAAAGGCCCCGGCTCTAGTAACATGGTGGCAGAGACGGGAAACCTTCTGATGTGGTCGCCTACGAAATATCTTATGGGGGAGTTCTACTGCGTACCGTAGCGGGGTGTCAGATTGCAATACGACTGCACCTCGGACGACTCCCAGAGGCAAGGATCCGCATGACCTGTTTGCACGGAGAGCGGTACGTTCTTCCAAGCAACGAGCTCAAAGGTCCTTATCCAAGGCTTATATGCCACTTACCATCCAATACCTCTGCACTTGCAGCGGAGACAGTCCAAGCCTCCTATCTGTCTCTTCTTTGGGATTTTCCGCCTACGACTTGATGCTTGACTGCTCCTCCACTTCGTGCTTGGGATGAGTTATCTAATGTGAATGTCAAGGCACCATGAAAGGATCTCTAGTACGCAGAGTCCGTATCGTGCCTCTGCCGGTAGTGAGGCTTCGAAACAAGCGGCTGTGGGCAGCGTAGTGCCCAGATACCACCTGCCCTCTGTGTAGGTGGCGGCGGCAACATTCACACGTACATATTTCCACCTATTTGGCGATCCATCCCGAAGCGCTGCTACCCGACCACTTCGCGATCCCCTCAATCCCACGCGTCCTCCTGTCGAGACGCCGAAATTGTTACACACAGGTTCACCACTGTCACATGATACAACCAACCTTATGTAGACTAGCTGCTGATTACAATCTTCTCTCTTAAGGGATCCTCTGGTCAGCTTGTTACAATCAACTCAGTCTCTCATTCTGCCTCCGCACCCACTAATAAGATGGTGTTGTGTTGGGGTCTTAGCAAAAGTGCGCGGCTCGCCAGTGTGCGCCACTCGCCCGTGGTGGACGTCAATAAGTAAGGAAAAGTAAAGGTATAACTTGCGTATCATAAGGATCGTCGTTCGAGAGGTAACTCATCTCAACTTAGCACGGTGACCATGTTCAGTGACCGAGCAACTAAGAGGGCGTGATATCAATTAGTCAACAGCTCGATTGGACCTTGTCTTCCGGCGAGCTCCCGGTGCCCCATCTTTGGATCCCTTGCATCAGCTTCATACACTGGGCTACCTTCACCCAATTGATACGCCGCCACTTGCCCATGCGCTCCAGGCACGTACATGGGAGCTTTAGGATACCCTTGATCGCGGCGCTTTCGTTTCAAAAAGTAGAATGCGACAGCTAGGAGGGCCAGAAGTGCAACGCCTCCGATGACGCCTCCTACGATTGCGCCGACTGGAGTGGAGGACTTATTTTCTTTTGGGGCCGAGTATGGGGCTGGGTTAAATGCATCTGAACCTTCACAATTCTGTTAGATTCTTTGGAAGAACCGGAACATCCTTCGGTTACAGACGTACTCGACAGATTTCCTTTCTGCAGTAGTTTCAATAGGGTCACTTGTTGGTTCTCGAGGTCGAGGCCATATTCTGCACATCCATCAGAATCCCCACGTTTGAACCCAGCGGCGCCTGGTTCGCAACAAAACACGCCGTTGTTGTCGTAAAGATCCCATGTAGCATTAGCGCACAATGGCTCGAGCGCGATTCCACTGGTACAATTGCTGCCAGGAGGGCAGCAAGCAATGTTGTATTGCTTCGGACATGCAAAGCCTGAGGGACAGCAGCCACGGAACGGGGCGACGGTGTCACCGCAAATGGTCTCTTGAGGGAGGCAGGATGAGCCCCGTCGGATAGCGAACCCTTGAGAAGGCATAACCCACTGTTGTGATGCAGATGATGGGAGTTATAATGAGGTTGAAGTTGACGTTGAGGACGAGGTCGAAGCAAAGATTACTATGTGGCACCAGTTGTCATCAATGGACTATTTTGGGCAAAATGCAGCAGGAGTAACACGAAGGATTCAAGTCACACCTACCCAGTCCTAAAGAGGACAGGGTGACTCCATAAATTAGACCTCCCTGCGTAATTGCTAGTTTTGTACCAATCATCGATCACTGAATTCATCATTCCGAGCCCTAGAATCCGAAGGAAGGAGTTGCACGCATGACTCCCAGCCACCCCTCAACCAGAATTCAGCGACAATCGATCAGCATAACGTTTCCCAGTACATCCCTGTCGATCCAGAAGACCGAAAGTGATCGAATTAAATTGTTCGCACCATTCGGTGATCACTCCGGTCGGATTACACAACCTCAGGTGGCCTCGTTATGTTAGAGCACCTGTCATCTATATCACGGAACGGCTAGCCTCATCGCGCGTACCTCGATTTCTCGGCCAAGAATTCCAATTGCTGCTCCTACTCGCCCCACGTCGGCTAACCTTGCAGGTTAGCCCTGCGCAGCCCAACGCAATTTCTCGGCCCAACGCAACTTTATAGGGGATCGCAACTCTGATGGCGATTTGACAGCGCCTGATTCAGTTATATGGACTTTTGTATACAGGATTTGGTTTTGAGAGATTTGCTGGCCCAATCGTCAACTCTCTAAAGCTTAGATTCTGCGTGGGTTGACTCAGTGGCGCCTGCGAGGCGTCCTCTTTATATTGTTTAGCTGCCCTCCACCCAACTTTTTGCGCCTCAAGCTTAACACCTTGATCAATTACCTATCACGCTGCCTTGACCTACCGTTTTTTGCGGTGTTGCGCAGCTGCGGTGATCTCTTAGAGATCGCGTTAAGCTAGGGTGAGACTATCAATCAGTAGTTGTGAGCTTTGTAGAAACTTTTCAAGTCGCTGGCTTGAAATATTTACTCAGCGGCTGAGCCCTACCGTTAGGATGGGCGCAATCTAGGATGTATTGAGCAGCTCCAGTAAGCTGCGGCATCAGGCAAGGCATGCCAATATTGTCGCAGCGGCGTATGTAGGCCTTAGGGCTTCATGCTATAGTGGCGTGAGTCGTAGATTCGTACCTGGGCGCTCCTGGCGGCTAATTCTACCTCCAACACGGGCTAGGAGACCCGTCAGCAGCACGCACCACTCCCTCGCTGCGGCCGCAATATTGGGTATTTTTTCGCCGTTGAAGCTATCAATACAAGCCTGAATGCGCTCCTCAATCTCCCAGCTATCTGTATAAAATTTTTGGCATGGCATTGCGTTGAAAATTAAGGTTGTTCGTTGAGTTGAGCGTATAAAGTTGCGTTGGGCTGCGTAGGGCCAAGACGGAGTCTTGGCGGGTGGGGCAAGTACAGCTCAACATAAGTGAGCGGATTAGCAACCAAGAAATTGGAGGGAGGGCTGAGTACGTTTAGCAATAGAGCTCTAGATTCTCCAACGAAACATCGCTTGGAGTGGTGGAAGGCGTGCTAAATATGGGGGGATTAGGAAGGATGGAGATTACTAATGAGGTGTGTAGTGGAGTCATATTAGTGTCGACGCCATCCGAAGACTACGTTACGTTTTGAGGAAAGGTGTTACGGCTGTGCCGCAACAGAATGAACTACAGGGTAATTACGATGACAGCGATGAGGATGACTGGGGTTCCGACCCGGGCGACATCGGTTTGGTTTGGTTTGATTTGGTTTGGTTTATTCTTACGCCACTCGGGTGCCTTTCGGCCCGTAGGCTGCCTAAACTACTTCTGTCCCTTCCGGCTAATGAAATTCCGTCGAGTCCACGTTTCATTCTAAGCCCGCCGCGCTTCGTCCTCACCTTCATGTATTAACTGTTGCCAACACTAGGTGTCCACCTAAAGATCCTCCTTACCCCTACCTGCACTGCGCCTCCGAGAGTAATTTCCTAGTCATCGGCTTTCTTGTTACCTGTTATGGGCTAGATGCTCGAGGAGCCAAGATAGCCAGAATGAATATTTATGAATTCACGAAGAGTCGAAGTCAAGCTTCTGCTACCGAAGTTATATATCTGCCCCCCGAAGCTAACATCGGGTCCGAGGTCCCAGCCGGTCCTGGGTCGAGCCAAGACCTCCAGGGCGTAGCCCATCACATACCCCCCTACTCCGCCCTTCCAGGGGTTGTTTCTACAGTGAGCGCAAGATCCGCCCTGTCGCGGACTTGCGCAGGCTTGTCCATTCGGGCTTCTAGGTTCGCTCTCTTGCCCTGGGGTTGTGGTCTGTCGCGGGGAGAGACCTGCTCCCAAACGTCGAGCGTGGGAAGCAGTCTTCTCAAGGTTATAGGGTTTGATTATCCCTAGGACATCTCGCACAAGTGTAGATCTGCGGGGGTGGGGAGTAGGGAGTTCCTAGCTAAGGCCTAGCGTCTTCATTAGACGCGCTCTAAAGGCTCTAGAAGTACCTCATCGTGGTTCCTAAAGTAAATTTCTATCGTTCCCCCACTCTAGTGGTCTGTTAACATAGTGCCTTCCTAGTCTAGGCACTATGTCGGTGGGGTAAGAGAGAGTAGGGTAAGGTCCATTTATTATTTTATGGCCTCTAAAAGCGCGTCTCTTACTCTCTATTAAATCTAGAAGGGTAGCTAGTCCTAAAGGGTTAGGGTTGGTTCTCGGGCAAGACAACTGAGGGAAGGAAGGGTTTTATTGAGACGATAGTATCAGAGGAGGATATAATGAGTTAATAATATAGCCTAAGTGTAATCCAAATAATAGATTAATAAATAGGTTAAACACGAGTGTAAGAGTTCTTACTTAAGTTCCTATATATTTAGTCCATGGCTAATCTATATAGATCGCTCTATATAGATTAGTCACGTGTAAGGTAATTTATTATAGATTAATTACGTGTGAGGTAATCTACTATAAATTAGTTATATAACCTGCCTAAGCGCCCTTAACCCATAATTAGTACTAACTAGGGTCCTATTTATATATACGCGCCCATGGCTATATATATAATATCCCTTCCATCACTTATTAGATCTAGATCCTAACATTATCCCCTCCCTTTCTATAATTTATCCTTAAATCACGTATAGTTCTTATATAAGCTAATTACTTACCCTACTTACTCTATTAGTTAGCATTATGCCCGCCAATTCCACCATCCGGAAATATCGCCTTTATTAAGAGATCATTAAAACTGTTATGGGCTAGATGCTCAAGGAGCCAAGATAGCCAGAATGAATATTTATAAATTCATGAAGACTCGAAGTTAAGCTTCTACTACCGAAGTTATATATCTACCCCCCGAAGCTAATATTAGGTCCGAGGTCCCAGCCGGTCCTAGGCCGAGACAAGACCTCTAGGGCGTAGCCTATTATAAAAACTAATACTATAGTAGAGAATCCTTACATTAACTATTCCCTAGAAAATGTTACTTATTTTATTATACCTAATTCTAGTCTATAATGCGCTAAGTACGTTCGCCTTAATTATCTATATATGAATATAAGTTAGTCTTTACTAGATGTTATGGGCCAGATACTCGAGGAGCCAAGATAGCCAGAATGAATATTTATAAATTTATAAAGACTTAAAGTTAAGCTTCTACTACCAAAGTTATATATCTGCCCCCTAAAGCTAATATTGGGTCTGAGGTCCCAGCCGGTCCTAGGCCGAGATAAGACCTCTAGGGTGTAGCCTATTATATACCCCCCTACTCTACCCTCCTAAGGGTTATTCTGCGGTAGGAGGTAGTTGTTATAAGGGGTTTCCACGTACCTAACTATAGGTTCGGACCTTATGGGTATTTAGTGATTCGAGCGTAAGGGATGGCGGTACTAAAGAGGTTAGGTGAATATCCTATACCATATGATAGTACGATGCAATAAATATTAAGAGAAGGCTAATGGTTCGTATAAAGATGAGTGGCTTTAATTTAGATATGAAAGTAAGCTTTTGAAGTTAACTATAAAGAATAGAAATGTTTAAAGAATGTCCTAGACTATATACTCATCTTTCTATCCTTTATGGTCCTGGTCTGCTCCCTCACTAATACCTTCTTAGTGGGAGCACCTTCCTACTCCCTTACTAAGGTCCTCTTGGTGGGAGTAACCTTCTCTTAGAGTATCTTGCTCCCTCACTAATGCCTCCTTAGTAGGAGCACCTTCCTACTCCCTTACTAAGGTCCTCTTAGTAGGAGTATAGTCACGTGACTACTTATACTAATATAACTGGGGTGGTCACTTAGCGTCCTTTAGTACGTTGGCCTCTAGATCCTCTACTAGGTTCTTCCCATATATCACCTTCATCTTCCTATAGTAATTCTATGTGATTGTAATATTACCCCCCCCTTTAGGGTTATTATCCTAATACCCTATTATGGTCTTATGACCTGTTATGGCGGTGCTATTAGGTGGTATAAAGGTGGGTGCTTCCCTAAACCTACTAGGACTATTATATCTTCTATGTCCTAGCCTTCCTAACCATGCCTAAGGTAACTAAGAACCCCATCCCTATGCTGAGGCCGGATCCTTTAGTACTAAAGAAGAACTTAACTACTCATTATTATCTTTATACTAATAAGGTTTCTGCTATAGCACTTATAATGCTAATAAAGTGTGATTACTATTATAAAGAAAAGGTCCTAAAGTGTTTTATAGATACTATAACTAGGGAGTGTATGGCTTATATTGTAGTATATATAACGTGTAGCCTATAGATTCCTAAAAAAGAGTGGGAGCGTGTTTAGTTAGCTAAGTAATAGAAGCGCCTTAAGCTCCTTTACTTAGAGGTAAGCACTACTCGTCTTTATCTTAAACTGGCTAAGCTTAAAGAGGAGGAATAGTTATTTACTACTTATGATACCCACATGGCGGACGTAATTAAAGTCTTAGAGAAGGAAGCCTTAGAGAAGGCTTCTATAAGTATAGTTCCTACTATTGGAATTTTGCTATCTAGACCTT